ATTTGATACTTTGATACTTTTTTGTTCACAAATGCGCCATTTTGATACTTTTGACTGGCAGAAATGAATTTTTGAAAACTATGAATAATATTGCTAGTTTAAAGGAAAATAATTTTTTCTTATTATTTAAATTCTTAAAATTTTATATGTAGATATTTTTAAGTTTGATTTGGCATATCTTTATGTACAATAATTTGTTGTGTTGCGTATGGCGACAACTGCGCAATTTTTAGTCTAGTTCTGATTTCGGTGTCCAGATCGTGCTGTAAAATATAGATAAGAACGTAGAAAACAAATTTTTTTTTAATATTATTATACCCGAGCGCACTTGTGCACAAGGGTATTATAACTTTGTTCACATAACGGTTGTTTGTAACAGGCAAAACGAATCGAGATAGATATAGACAAATGTATACATAAATGATCAGAATGAAAAGAGAAATCGATTAAGCGGTGACTGTCTGTCCGTCCGTCCGTCCGTCCGTCTGTGCACACGATAACTCGAGTAAAAATTAAGATATCTTAACGAAACTTGGTACGTGTACTTCTTTCGGGCGTAGGACGGATGGTATTGAAAATGGGCAAAATCGGACAATAACCACGCCTACCTCCCATATAACGGTAATTTTCAGAAATACAAAAACTGTGATATTTTAGTAACTACTGAAGATAACTCACTCAAAATTGATATTTATAATAAATTTTAGACGAAAAATAAGAATATTAACATTTTTTTGAAAATGGTAACCGCTGCATCAATTTATTCCAAACTTGGCACAGTTGTTGACCCTGGTACAGCATACCAAATGGCCGAAAATTTTTAAAATCGGACAATAACCACGCCCACATCCCATATAACGGTAATTTCGAGAAATACGAAATCCTCGATAAATCAGTAAATATTAAAGCTAATTTATTCAAAATGATGGTTGCAACAATTATTTGCCAGGAAATACGTTTATGATAAAATTTTGGAAAATGGGCGTGGCACCGCCCACTTATGATCAGGTATATGTATCTCGCTAACCGTTCTAGCAATTTGTACCAAACTCGGTATGGTTATTGTGCTTGTCACATAAAAGTAAACCATTGAAAATTGTTGAAATCGGACTAAAATTACGGCCGCTTTTCATATAACGGTAAATTTCAGAAATGCTTGAAATTTCAATATTTTGAAATTTAAGGACGCTAGTTTACTTAAAATTTATACACGCCGGCTTATCTTGTAGCGGTAGCTTTCGGAAAGGTGGAAAACATATATTTAATACTTGCGCCGGGTATTTAATGTTCGGCTCCGCCCGAACTTAGACTTTCTTACTTGTTTTTTTGTGTTTTAAAGCTGAAGCTATCAAAATATACAACGCACATTTATATTTCTTGCACATATTTACTTGAACAACGTTTCTCTAAAATAAGGTTTGCGCAATTTTATTGTGTATTAATTTTCAAAATATTGACTTAAACAAGTCTCAGGTTGCACAATGATTTTGTGTGATTTAAAGGGGCCATACTAAGTTTGTTTTTCGTTATGCAAATAAGCATACTGATTCTCTGGTATTGTTGAAGCAAGTAATATAATTTTTAATTATAAAACTTTATTGATTATTCGTTTTTCAAATAAATTTTTAAAAAGTTGAGTTTGCTTTTGATACTTTATCTGCTTGGAAACTGATACTTTTTTCCAAGCTCGCGGCAACGCTGATTAGCAGTCAGCAACAAGTTAGCTACGTACATACCCTTGTGGTCAGCTGATTAAGTCAAGTGACATTTTGACTAGTTTTGGCTATTTTTCTTTTGTTTATTTAATGTTTATTTTTTTTACAATAGTTTAGCACTTTACCTAACCAGTGCCACATAAATACACATTTCAAACTTCGTACAACAATTATAAAAATTCAACAAAATTTAACATTTGCACCCGAGGATTTTAAACTTTTTATTCACTATTTCTAGAAAAATGTTGAGTATGCAGTTTTGTAGCTAGTGGGTTAAAATGCAAATTTGAAGATTTTAAATAATTTTTTTTTTTTTGCTGACGGTGTTGTGCATTTTCCTCCGTATAAAATATGCTCGACAATTTCGTTTGTATGGGAGGAAATGCCTAGCACCGTCAGAAAAAAAAAATATATTAAAAATCAACGCGTTTTTCCAGCGACTTGAAATTTGCACTTTAATCTACTAAAATTTAATGAGCTACAAAACACAAAAACTCTAAGTACAAAGTTTGAAATTTTTGGTGCAAATATTAAAGTTTGTGAATTTTTATAAATTTTGTACGAAGTTTGAAATGTGGATGTAAGTGGCGCTGGTTAGGTAAAGTGCTAAACTTCTGTAAAAAAAAATATAAACATTAAATAAACAAAAGAAAAATAGCCAAAACTAGTAAAAATGTCACTTGACTTAATCAGCTGACCACAAGTGTATGTGTATATGCAAGTAGCTGTATGGTTAGCATTGGATGCCGCAGTAACAGCGTTGCAATTTGGTTCGTCATACGCCATTGTGCAGAATAATTTCACTTCGCTATTACTAACTACAGTAGCTCCAAGCGAAACTCGTACATCGACTTAGATATTTGGTT